AGTTCAAACCCACAATGAAAAGTTCTGACCCTGGCAGTGGATGCTGAATATAGCTGTTTCGATGGCATTCTCTGCATGCGTCCACATCCAGGCAAACGTATGAACTCGTTGTACTCCTTCCTATTTATTCATATCCTTGTGACTCCATTTTCTTCGTCTATTGTCCGACATTTTGCCTATCCGTATCTTCTTCCATTAGAGCTGCACGCCGAATCCCCTCGATAACGGGTTAACAGTGACTTCAATTCCGATTGATTTGCTTATACTGCACATTTTTTCATCCTCCACACCATCGTTTGTTACCTTGTCCGCTCTGTGTTCCGTTTACACAGCGTTTTCGTTTCGCTCCCATACCGTCTCCAGTATGTATGTCTCCCAAGTAGTTTATCCATTTACCTGTTCTGTCGTTGTACATATGATTATATTGAACATATGATCATGCCTTGTGCATGCTTCACGGGTTTCGTTAAATATACATTATCATTATATAGGTTGACCAGTGTACTGGATCTAGAATGGGTGTAAAGGTGAACACTGCTGCCTTGTCAGCATGTGCCACGCGAGTGGGTGGAATAAAAAGAATTGCGAATAGATGATAGAGCTTAGATATTCAGTATTATGGGTGACAAACCTAGTGTAGGTTTCCACCAGAAGAATATCTATTCCACTGATCAGCTATGTAGGTTGACCAGTGTACTTGTTCAGAAATGCATGTATAAGGGAACACAGCTTTTGGCGTTCTTTTTGACACCTCGTGCTAAGTTAAACTCAAAGTCATATTTGACACGCCTTTGAAGGTCTTGACATCTGTTGCGCGGTCGCTTGTAGTCACTCCAGGCTTATTGAGTGCCGTAAAGCTTAAAGCGATCCCAGTATTGTCTGCAAATTTTCCGCGCCCTCTCTATCTCGGATTTGCACCACATTGGTCGATGTCTGATTCGTCCTTCCCTCAGTGGCGCGAACCTTTCTGTGGAGTTAGTTAACCCTCTTTCAAATACGTCCTATCTATCTTGCACGGTACACTCCTGGGACGTTGTGTACTAGTTATTGATATTTGCAGCCTGTAAAAACTCTGGGACGTTTATGCGACCATAGAGCCGGATGAGGGTGGGTCCTTGTCTACAATAGCTAACCGTTAGTCTAAAGCGAATAACTTCGTGGTCGCTTTTGTCCAACAGTTCCCCCATCTTTAAACTAGTTGTGTCCGAGCTGTACCTTGTTATAATTAGGTTAAGCAGCGAGGGACGCTGTTGTCCTACATATCTGATTGCTTTTGTAACATGTTGTGAGAGGTCTCTTTCTTGTAGCCACTTTAGCAGACGTTCCCCTTGAGACCCTGCACTCGTGGATCCATGTGCCCAGGATATCTCCGGGAAGTTGAAGTGACCTATCACGAGAAATCTCTGGTGGCTAGCCAGATTGCATAACCCGCAAAAGCTCTGTATCTTCCCAGGGAGTAGCAAGAGGGGCACGGTAGACGCCTAGTATGCCTATCTGCTTTCTTCCCATTTAGACACAGCATATTACTGCTTGGATGTTGGGGGTAGCTAAGACCAGATGTGTTTCCCACTGGCTGAGGGATGACTTAAATAATATTAGCACACCACCGACTTGTCTGCCGTCTACTCTATCCTGCTGGTAACTAGTATACCCCCTAGGTCTGCTATAACTTACATTTCCCGCAACCAGGATTCTGTAGTAAGGA